TGTTTTTCCTTCCTAACATCATCTCCTTGTTGAAAAGACAGAGGCACCGTTCTGGTCAAGCAAGGGAAGAACATGAAAATAATATTAGCCTGGACTGAAAATTACCTCTAGGATTAGCTATTCTGCTAGCGCTTCTACTTTCATATATGGACACAGCTTTCTCATCTGTGGGGTCCCCGTGGTTCTGAAATAGAAATTAATAGAGCCCCTCAGCTGAGGAGACCCCAAACTAAGCGAAAAGTGCTCAAAACAGCAAGAGTAATCGCGCTGTTCTTTGCAGAGAGGTCAGCTCACACGGAGCCTGTTACTAACTGAGGAACATAGGTCTAATTGGCAGAGAACATAGTACACTATTCTCAAATACATACTGCAAGTCCCCTGCTCACTCTGGCGTTCTGCTGAGACACTGACAGTGTAGATAAGAGAAGGTAAGTAGCCTCGAACTCAAGACGAGAGCACATCAAACCCACCTCCCCCAACACACGTTCAGAGCAGTGTTCTTTCACATTTGCTCTGTTTGTTAAGGTTTGCCCTGTACAACAGTTCTCTGAAGTATACAATATTGGCCCTTTTCTTCCCTTTTTAAAAAAAATTCCAGCTCCTGTGGCTTTAAATCAAGAAAACTTTCATCAGGACGATTCTTACCCAGAGAGAAAAGAGAACTTCAGAGAAGACATGCAGGGAGACTGCAAACTTACGGCACTAAAAGCGACAGGGTTCACTTCAGGGAGATACTATTGGGAAGTGGATGTCGGGGATGCGGATGAATGGACTCTAGGCATTTATGAGAAGCCCACAGAGAGGAGTGATTTAAAAAGTGATCTACTAAAGAAGTACAGAGTCTTAGAGAAGAAAGGACGTGAATACAGGGCTCTCACCGGTTATCGCCCAGACATTTCCCCAGAAAAGCTTCTTGTGGAAAAGTGTCCACAAAAGATTGTGATATTCTTGGATTATGAGGACAATGACATTTCTTTCTATAACATGACTGATGGAACCCACATCTTCTCCTTCACTCAGGCCGATTTCTCTGGGTCACTCTATCCTTACTTCGAACTTAAATCCATGGGGCTCTCCCCATCTGCATGATAGTAAGTGACACAGAAAAAGAATCTATATACCGTGAAGGCAGTAGCAAATTCTCTGTAAACCCTAGGACTCCAGTCCTGATGGATGTCCTCAGGGCCACTGATTAGGAGGACTCCTGGCTTAAGGCTCCTTGAATCTGCATGAGCAAAATTTCTAATCACATCAAGCAGTGTTTCTCAAACAATCTGCAGAGAAGAATCTTTTTTTTTCTCTTTTGGTTATTGTTGTAAATATCTCTTGCGTTATGTATTATATATCACAGACTCATACTTTTCTGAAATAAATTACTGGAAACATAATGAAGTGAATAAAAAACAAAGGCATACAATTACAAGGAGTAATTTTATTATTAGATACAATTTACCTAATATTTTCTGTCATTTCTCTAAATTTTTGTAATGCTCTATTTCTGTGTTTGTTTCGTAAAGAACTAGTAGGAAACAGTTGTAAATATACACTGGTCTGTGGATCACACTTTGGTGGCACTGCTCAAGGAATAAAACTTAGATATACCTCAGATTTCTTGACAGTAACACTGAATAAAAATAACAAAAGAGTGCTGTTTTCAAATGCCGAGGGAGAAAAGTTAAACTGTACTTTGATAACAAGCTAAGTTATTTCTTAAATGCAAGGATAATTTGAGAAAGAAAAAGTAAATATCAATCAAAATCCAATTCTAACACGTGATGACGCCAACATAATGGCTGTCTGGGGAAACCAGAATCAAATGAGAGCATATCGAGGTATGGATCTCACTGAATTATGAGAGAGAAATTTGAATTCTTTGCCCCAAGATGTTGCTAAGGAGAATGACTACTTTGTATTCATGGCGATTCTAAGTATGACCACTAGCAGAGGTAAGGAAAGGCCTTTCTTCTTTTCCCTCCAATCAAAATTATCTATTATATTAAAAGGAAATGATTAGAAGAAGCAGTAACCAGTGCTTAAACAGGGGTGAGAAGGGAATGTGGTCTACGAGCCAGACTAGAAAATCTTTTAAATGCACTGGGCACTGTATAGAGTACCCAGAAAAGCCTTGCCTCATTAATGGGGAATAATTAGCACTAGACTAAAAATTGATTCAATATTGATGAACAAATTTAAAAGTAAGTGTCAAGTGAACCAAATTGTTTACAGGTATCTTAAACTCATCCCAGAGCAAAGATCAACACCGTACAATTCACAATGTGTAACGTTCAGTTAAAAACTACCAGGCAAGGAAAGAAGCAGGAAAATACAACATATAATGAGCAGAAAATCAATAAATTAAAATTGACATGGAACTGATACAGGTGTTCAACTTTATAGACAAGGATATTAAAACAGAAATTGTAACTGTATTCTGGATGTTCAAAAAGTTCACTAGAGATATACATTTAAAAGAAGGACCCAAATTGAACTTCTAGAGATGAAAAGTATGATCTGTGAGATGAAAATTTTATTGGATATGATTAACAGTAGATTAGTCATTGCAGAAATAAATGATTTGTGAACTTGAGGGCACAGAAATTCAAACTATCTAAAATGAAACATAGAGGAGAAAATAATTAACAAAATAAAGAGTACCCGTGAGTTGATCGAAAACTTTAAAGGGGCATAAGACAAAGGTAATTGGAGACCTTGAAGGGAGAGGCATGTGGACAGAAGAAAGATTTGAAAAAATGAGAGTCTAAAACATATTCTAAATTTGATCATTATAAACTCCAGATCCCAAAATCAGTTTTGGTCTGTTCAGACTGCTATAATAGAAACACCATAGGCCAGTGGCTTGTAAGCATTATACATTTATTTCTCACAGTTCTGAAGGCTAGAAGTCCAAGATCAAAACGCCAGCAGATTGGGTGTCTGACGAGAGTCTTGTTCATAGGTGGCTTTCTCACTATGTTCTTACATGACTGGAGGAGTGAAGGAGCTTGTGTAAATTACTATACATTTTTAAAAGAACTGAAAATGATATGCTAAAGCAAACAAAGTGGAATCACATTAAAAGCTTTAGTGAAACCAGACAGCACAGGGGACTATATTCAATATCTTGTAACAAGCATTAATGAGAAAAAATATGAAAATGAATGTGTGTATATGCATGACTGGGACATTGTGCTGCACACCAGAAATTTATACATTGTAATTGACTGTACTTCAATAAAATTTTTAAAAGGTTAAAAGTTGATCCCCTGGAGTTTAACAAATTATTAAAAATATTAATAATAATAAAATTAATTTCAATGATTGAGAAAACTATACCTGAAAATTATTGTTCCAGCCTATAATGGGGTGCACTACAATACATAAATAAAAGTACACAAATGAAACATGCTGTAAAAGGTGACTATGCATTGGGGGTGTGTGTGTGTGTGTGTG